CAAGTAGTAAGGTTGATTGCACTGAGTCTGAGCAACAGCAGCAGCAGTCTGAAAGTTAAAGTTAGCCAGCCTTATGGGGAATAAATCCACAGCTTCTCAAGGCAGCTTTGTTTTTCTTAATTCATTGTTGTTTTGAGACAGGGTTTTTGTAGACCAGTCTGGCCTTGAACTCAGAGATCCTGCCTGCCAGTGCTGAGATCAAAGATGTGTGCCACCAGGCCTGTTTTTTCTTAATACTCTCTAGGTCCTAGAAATCATCATTTGGATAGTCTCTAAACCTTGTATTCAAATTAGACTATACTCCCCAAGGCAACTGCAAACCCTTCTGAAACTAAAATACTGAAATTGGCTAGTCTACCACATACTAAGGGAAAGGCCATACCAGGTACAGTTGGTCTTCATTATTTGAAGAGCCTATGTTTGCAAATATACCTACTCACTAACATTTATTTGTAACCCAAGTCCACACTCACAGCACTTTTTTTTTTTTTAAGGAAGTCCACAGAACAGCAGCAAAGTGGTTTCTATGTCCATGTCCCCCGCTGAGGCAGAATACTGTGACACTGTCTCCTTGCTTCAGCCCTCAGCAACAAGTGTTCTCATGATCTATTTAATGTCGTGGCTTTTGCCCTTTTGTGTCTTTTGGTGGTGATTTTACTGCTTAAAAATGGCTCCCATGGGTAGTGCTGAAATGTGGTCTAATATTCGTAAGCACAGAAAGCTTCATAGAGCAAGTTCTTGTTACGTAGCTTCACTCATCCCAACTACTACAGGAGGATTGTTAAGAGTTAGATTGTCTCAAAAGAAACAAAACAATTTCACCACTAATTCAACGTTCATAGTGACTTTAGATGCAATAAAATTGCCCTGAATGGAGCAAGTTGTACATCTTTGCATATGCATAATTCCTCCACCGCAACCCCAGGACTGGGAGCAGCAGTGATGCTCCGAGCTGGGCCTGCAGATATGCTCCAGGACCACCGACCTCAGAATGCTTCTTGACACCTTGGATTTGAAGAAGTATGCAACTGGTTTCTGTCCTCAGAAGGGATATGCTACTATATACACCGTGTTTAAAGGAGAATTGACCTCAGCAGCTATCGGACCATCTGGTCTTATTCTGTATTTACTAACCTTTTCTTTCTCTGCTTTTCACAGGTGGGCTGTCCAGAAACAAGAAGCTGGTCATGGCCATTTGGTTTACTAGGTAGTTCAGGACAGAACTCTAAGCTAGGTCTGGGCTTGGCGGTAAAAACACTTAGAAGGCTGAGGCTGGAGATCCCAAGCTGAAGGCAGCCTGGGCTACACAGCAAGACCCTCTCTAAAACACAAAACGAGGCCCCATCTGCAAATTATAAGATGGCATTCAGATGTATAAATCAGTCTTAATTTGGAGAGGATGCGTCAAATATCTCACAAATAACTAAGTCTAGCACCAACAGTTCAGATTATAAAACAGACAAGGCGCTAGAATTGGGCAAGGAACAGAGGGACAACCAGAGGTTCAGAGGACCGAGAAACAATGTTCAACAGTGTACCTAGAGTCCCAAATACAAGAGGTTTCACGGAAACCCTGTGCTCTGTCTAGGACAGCACAGGCTGATTTCTACAGCTTGATAAAATGAAGCAACTACTCTGTTGGGGAAGTCAGATTTTCTGAGGACCTGGCAAGGTGGCGACTTCTAGTTTATACAAGTAAACCAGAACTGTACAAGTATGGAGGTCAGAGGACAACTTTTGGGAGTTGGTTCTTTTCTTCAATCATGTGGGTCCTGGGAACAAACTCAGGCCACAAACTTAATGGCAAGGACCCTTACCACCTTGCCAACTCTCAACAACTGTTTTTAAAATCTTCCTGGAATAAGGAAATCAATGGCTAGAACTTGGGAAAGGCTGACACAGGTAACAAGTTAGTCAAGAATATTTGCATGTTTACAAGAATGGAACACATTTAAATGCCCCCCACCCCACACACACAAAAGGAAGGAATCTCAGTTGGTGCAGGAGGATAAAGCATAGGAACTCGCTGTGAATATGAACCAAGATTAAAAACCTCTCCCATAGATTACCAGTAGCTAACCCAGGTGTGGAGGAGAGGAATACACTAAGGTAAGCCAATGTGAAATAGTACTCAGGTTTAAGCTGTGGGAATCCTTTCAGATTTCCCTCCTGCCTAGTGACTACAATCACACTTAGGCCCTGTCTTTCATAACCAGATTCTTTTGTCCACTAGTGAAAATCCCCAACAAAATCTTTGAGTCACTGGCAGCTTTTGGGTGGAGAGTGGTAAGATTTAAATTTTGTTTTTTTAATAAAACTCCTAGTATTTATTTTTATTTGTGGTTTTTCTTTTCTTTTTTTGAGACAGGATTTCTCTGTGTAGTCCTGGCTGTCCTGGAACTCAATCTTAGACCAGCCTTTCTTTGAAATCCGCCTGTCTCTGCTTCCCAAATGCTGGGATCAAAAGTGTGCATCACCACGCCCAGGTTCCCTAGTGGTTATTTTTAAAAATATCTTTGTATGTGTTTGTGTGTATGCACATGTGTGCAATTGCCCAGAGGTGAGAAGAGGTGCTGGAGCCCCTAGAACTGGAGTTCCAGGTGGCTGTGTGCCGCCTGACATGGGTGCTGGAAACAAAACCGTCTTCTGCAAGAAGAGTAGTGTTCACTCTTGACAGCTGAGTCATCTCTCTAGCTCCCCTCCACCCCCCACCCCCACCTTTTTTTTTTTCTTGGAAATGGCCTCACACTGCAGTTTAGACTGACCTGAAACTATGTAGCCCCGTCTGGCTTCAAACTCACAGCAGTCCTCCTGCCTCAGCCTCAGAGACATTATTCACACCTAAAAAGGAGCTGTCCTTTACAAGTCTTTGCATGTTTACTGAGTCCACAGTAGTGGAAAGTAGGGCACAATTTCAGAAACCCTGAAGATTCAACAAATTAAATGGTTATAGTTGAATGTCTCACCTTGAGAACAAAGGCTGACAGAAGGACAGAAAGGACAGACACAATTTTAGAATAAAACAGGTGTATTTCTATTGGACTACCTGACACAGAAGACAGTGTGGTATGGATGGATAGTATGAATGACAAATAATACAAATATATTTTATTTGAAATCAACAAAAATGCTTACACAGCTTTCATTTGCGGACAAACTCCTGCCTGACTGCATTACTAAGCAAAAACAGCGCTGAAGCAAACACCCTCTGTTCTGACTTGTATTTGGGGACAGGTAGGAAGACACTACTTGGTTTTTTAAAAAACTGACCTTCCCCTAAGGCCTGGTCATAGAAATGTAAACAATGTAAATGAATCCACCATTACCAGTTGTCATAGGTCATATCACATTACCTGTGTGCTCTGAGATCACACACATACCTGCCAACATACCTGGGAAGATAGCTATATCACAGTTACATATGAGTTGTAGGCAGGCAAGATGAGGGAGAAAGAGTAATTTGGAATGGGTTTTACATCTTGTTTAGAAAGAGCACTAGCATTCTCTAAAATATCAGGTTATGACAGAAAGACACTGCCTAGGAGTTCTCCTTTTCACCTTGATTATTCCAGCTTTGTGAGTGATGTAGCTGTTTGGTTTTTCTGCTTATACAACAATCTTGCAGATAGCAGTGAAACACAGATACCTATTATTCCTTCAACACCCGTGTTTTTCAAGTTTTATACTCTACTACATCCACAGCATGTCGTCACCAGTTCTTGAATATTAAACAGAAATACAAATGGGCAAACTCTTCTCAAAATGCTGACATCTGTTGAGGCACTCCTGCAGGGCAGCACCGGCAGGAGAGTGGGCCGAGGAGAGACAGAACAACACTCGGTGCAGCCGGACTTGGTCAGACTGGATGGATCAAGACAACCAGGATCTGATCCTGTGTTTTAGCTTTTCCACACATTTAAATACAATAGAACTTTGGGGGGAAAGTCTCCAAATGACAGTTCTCAAAACAAAGCTTCAGGGCTAGCTACATCGAAATTCCCTTGCCAAATAGTAAAGCACCTGTGACCTTTACAGTAAGAATGAGTACTATTGACGGACAAACAGAATTTAGGGCTAGGGTCTAGAGAGGAAGGATACATAATAGGCATAAGTTCTATTTAGTGAGAGACAAAGTCCAGCATTAGGGCATAAACAATGCTCAGAAAGTTGTGGGTGGAGGGGGTGGATTCAGCTGGAGGCTGGCTCCTAATAGAACAGCAAAGGATCACCAGGTTGTTTGATCCTGTCATTCCAGCATTCCAGGTGACCAGACATCATTCATTTCCTTCCATTGAAGAAAACAGGCCCATGTGATTGACAACCCTGGTTTACCCCAATGCTTTTTCTAAGCTGCACTTCCTGCAGACATTTATGGCTACAATGGAAATATATGGGAGGAGACAAGAGAATGGAAATAAATGTTCATGTGCAGGGGATGTGGTTCAAGTCTTTGGATTTAAAAACAAGTTCCCAGAGAAGCTGCTGCCATGGAATTTTCAGGAAACTTCCTTTGCCTTCCAACATGGACCCAAAAAGCCTCAATCCAAATGTATGAAAACTACAATTGTCAGATGCTATTAACGATCAAAGCAGTCAGAGAAGGAGTGTGTCATCCACTTAGCTACAGTTTGTAGCATGGCCTCTTTAGCAATTGGTGGATTGGTAAAAGCCACTGAAGTACTGGAAATGTTTTAAAGCATGGAGTAAAAAGTACTGAACAAACACTCTGTAAAAACCAGTCATAGGACATCATGGCTACGAAATTTTCTCAACAGTAAAATGACTTCAGGATAGATCTCTTTGACATTAAATGCAGCAGA